GGCTGGGGGCAATATTCAGTCATATGCAATCGAATGAAAAGGCAAACACGGGAGGGAGGGTGGCCAGCATTCGAGGGGGGAAGGGGACAGCCTTCATAAGAGGTAAACAATCATTTTACAGGTCGGACGGCAGTTTCGCCGGAGAAGGGACGGGGGGGATCTAGAATTGTTCAACGGAAAATAATAAATAACTTCCCTATCTGTATGTCGTTCGAATATTTTTGAAGCCTATATCCTCGGTTTTAAGAGATAAACAAGTTGCGAGAAATATTTTTTGTCAGTGGTTTTTCCAACAAAAAAAACAACTGTCTAACTGTCACGCGTGTTTGTACGAGCTTCTTCCATGTTTCCCACCGTCCGTTTTGATGGGATTCCTAGGGTTGCGTTAACGGGTCCGACAGCACTGTTAGCGACGAAAATGGCAGTAGACGTCGTTTCTACACAAAATGGGTAGTATGCGCCTGAACTAGGCGCCCTTAAAAATCATAAAAAGCTTCTCTTTCAGTTTGTCATTACTGCGTGTTTTCGTTGAGAAAGACCTGCTTAGCTTGGTTTGTAATACTGTTTAGCATGCAGCATCATTCTGAGCTATTTCAGTTGTAATAAAGATTCCGGTTTTTTAATGTATTCCTTAGTGCCCGTCCGCAAAACTCAAGCTCTATTTTTTAAAAACCCTTTTTAAGTCGTATGGCTTTTTTCATTTGTTTTCGAGGTCCTTACAAATTATAGAAATTTATAGAAAACCCAAACACCGGGATTCTTTTTGAACTAATTTAGTAGCATTTTAAGTCTTAATTAAATGTTTAACCTGAAGAGAGAGACTGTTTCAGTTGTGTTAACTGTACAGTTCGAATTTGAAAAAAGTCAGAATTCCGGGATAAAAATAAGAGTTCATCTTCCGCTCACCGGAATAAATTTGTGGATTTGCTCACGTTCCGGACGGCTGGGGCGGCTGTCCTTTGTCCGCAGTTCTCTACAAAATACGTAGTAATGATTGAGACTGTATTTACGTTGGAGAAATAAGAATG